GCGTTATTTTAGCGAATACCTCCACGCACGATTTAAATTCTCAAGTAGTTTGTCGAAAGAACTTTGCTCCAATTTTTATCGTTAATTGTATAGTTGCCAAGGGCTGTTCAGAGTTCGATAGAAATGTTTAGCTCAAAATTCGGCGAGAAAAAAAAGTGAATAAACAAAAGTAGAGAGCTATCCTCAATGAATACTTTTATTGCAGATTTATTTCAATATTAAAAATATCTCATACATCATGCGATTTATTATTGGCATGTGTGGTGTCATGTTCCTTAATCCCTTGAATACCTTGAACAGGGTATTTTGAGTTCGCCACGAAGTTTGTAACACCCAGAAGGAAACGTCGGATACCCTAAGAAATATATATTTAACGGATCAGCGTGACGAGCTGAGTCATTTAGCCATGGCCGTCTGTCTGTATATACGCAAACTAGCCCTTCAGTTTTTGCAAGATCAAAATTAAGTTATTGTATGGAAAATTGTTCAGATCAGACCACTATAGAATTATCATATAAAACCTTTTTTAGGAGAAGGGTAGCTTCTGTGCAGCCGAAGTTGACGTATTTTTTTTTTTATTAATATTTACAAAAGCTGTGACTAACGGCGGATTTGTATAGTACATACCAGTGAAGACAAAATGTAGCAACACTCACCATTAAACACATACAAACCATTTTTAATTTGATTAGTAAAAATATGCTTTATCTTCCACAAGATTCAGAAAGTATTCTGAACAAAGAAACAGAAACTCAGTTAAAGGATAACTCTTTATTGAACAGATTGCACTTGAATAATTTTGACTCATATATGTACACTCATATGAGCCGATACCCATAATATTAGTAATAATTTTTATTATTTTAGTGCATACTTTTCATCATTTCTCATGCATGACTGCGATAAATCAATTTTCATATGAACTCTCATATATTCAACGAAGGTCACAGTGCCTTTGGCTTCAGTCAATAATAAATAACCACACAGCAGCATTCTGTATGTCAATGAGTTCCCTGCTGTTTTGCGGTAAAACATTTATATTGCACAATATCACAGACACATTATTTGCTTACTTAAGTCCACCCACACACTGCTTAGCATAAGTCGCAATTTTTTTTCTTCTAGCGCTTTTCGATTAGAAATAAAGCGGTAAATTGAATAATAATATTAAGCTCATTTTTAATTCAACACGATCGACGTGCTACATGTGCAGCTGTGTGTGTTTATAACCATTAGCTTGATCACGCGATCACTATCAAAGCATTAGACATTGTGGCGCCACCGAAATTATATTGGCAACAAATTGTGAAGCAATAAAATAATCATTGCATACAAAAGAGAATTTATTAATATAGTCATAAGCTCATGGGAATGCTTGGCTATGAGGTAAGATATATGTACACGTAAGCACACACACATTCAGCACATATAAATAAAAAATAAAAAACTACAGCTATATGTGGCTTACCAGCAGCGTCAAATCCCAACAACTTTTCGCACACACTGCAACACAAACATACAATGTATTTGCACGCGCATATGTTCCCTGCCACCATAAGCCAAGCCGCGCATTCATTAGCTTTGAATGGTTAAACGCTTGCGCGCAGTATGCTCGGCGTTGCTCGCAGCGCGCCGGGCACGCGCCACAATCCGGTTCAACGGCTGAATGTCATGCCAAGAGTTTCGCCGTCGTCTTGTCATTATAAATTGCCACCTCGGCGTTTGGCGGCGGCGCCAGCAGGTACCGGGAATCAAACGCCCACGCTGCACAGCCGTCAACCGGCAACAGAGCAATGCAATATTTTTTTTTATTTTATTGTGCTGTTGAGGCAGCCAGCCAGCTGTTGTTGTTGTGATATAAATGATATTTATTTAGATTTTTTTATTGCGCTGGAATTCAATTTCGTTATAAGGTGCAACTTAATTGAGTTGCAAATCTGACGTGTACACAAGATTACAACGCTTACTGTACATACACATATGTAGGCATATATGTAAATTTATGGCAAGCTGATGAAGATGTTGATGCTGTTGATAAGTGTTTGTCAACAACATTACACAGTTTAAAGGAGCTAATGGGCGGATTAGGTGCTGCCTGTCAATTTTGTTTCCTACAGTGTATTATCACAGTAAAATTGGAAGAAAGCTGTGAAGCTTTATGATACGAAGGTACCATCTCATCAATTTAGCTGATCTATTTAAACTGCGCGCGCAAACCGAATCGATAAAAAAATACTTTTATTTTAAGTGTGTGTAAGTAGCTATACATACTTTTATATTTCAGAAGGCGTAGTTACCTAATTTGCCAATGACAGCTATTTTCCGCTAGAAATTGTTATGGAAAATAATATATTTTCCTTGCTCTCTTTTCTATTTCAACTCAAATTATTTAGCATAATTTGTGAATTAGTTATAGCTTTTATAGCAAATGGTGCGCTTGGCCCCATCTGTAAAGCTAACAATTTCAGAGTGTCAAGAGATAAATTTTTACGCAAGCAAGGACAGATATCGGAAGTAAATTTGTCTTGTCATTTTAAACATTTCAAAACACATACAAGAAACTTTATATCTTCCTCGTTGTTACAGGATTAAAAACTGCTGTCAGTTGTAAAAAAATATATTATACATATTATACGAGAAGAAAGAGTTATTTGTCAAAATGTAATGCCTAAAAGTCGTTATCATGAAGCGATGAACTGTACACGATTTATCATGACCATCTATATTTATTGGTAGAGAACTTTACAGAAATTATACTAAGGATCTAAGGCCATTTATAAAGTATATTTAAAATAGCGTAACCTGCCTATTGATATTAATTGCTACAGGGTACTATTCTGCTTTTGGATCCATTTTTTTTTTAGATTGAGAAAGCATTTTTGAATGAACGAACTTCTTCTTCTGGCTTCGTAAATATACAGCGATGTGCTTTTTTTAAGTCGTAAATCAAAAATAAGTAATTGGGGTTGAATAAAGACAGTCTTGTGATAAGTGGACGACATAAGAGGTTTGCATCGTCGTATATAGATTTTGGTGCTCCCAAACCTTACAGCCTTATTAATATGGATTATATGAAACTTGCAAAGTCATCGCATGCAAATATTCATAAATATATATATTATTTGCGGATTTAAGTATGATGTCTTAGCTTGTTGCTTCACAACTCAAATCGATTCGACTGACTACAATTTGTCTAACTTTTCAATAGAAATGACAGATGACACTGTCATTGCCATGAGTATCATAAACTCGTAAGTATGTAAAATCAAGAGTAAACTATGTAGCAATTTCGGCTAGTTACCTTGCTTTGTGTGGTATGAAAAATGTATTTTAAATTCGGAATACTCGAAGCTTTACATTTTATAGCAAAAGCTACTTTTATATAAAAAATATTTTCCAACAAAATTGACTTTGTATGACTCTTTTTTCTTTAGTTTTGGCACGATAACCTCTAATGAAAATAGTATGTGTTGGTATGTGTTACACAAACTGTTCTTATTCAATATCTGATTTCGATTACGTTCCATCCACTTTTTAGTATTCCAAACTCAAAATGTTGTATTCTGATAAAATAAAGCAAATATAGGTCAACACATTGGAATCAGAAGCAGAATCGGCAATGGCACGATCGAAAATTTGCAAACATTTTGCAAAAATCTCCACAAACAATTTTATGACTCAAGCACTGTTTGACGCAAACGTAAGATAACATTTTACTGTTTGCGAATACGAAAAGAGCAGAAAGTTAAAATACCAAAAGAGCTCTACGTAGAGAGTTCAATTCGCAAGTATATCTTGCAAACACACTCTTGAAATACATATATGATAATCAAAATTAAGTAATCAATTTCGATAATTCTAGGAGTAGTATAAAGTAATGTGCTGCAGTTTTAATGACAATTTCGAAGATCGGAATGCAAAATAATGGTATCCAACGCCTTTCAGAGTTTGAAAAATAAAATCTGGCCAGAAAACCAGCTAGAGAAGGAAAACTATTATCTCAGCGACCTCTTGGTTTCCTAGTGCTACGAGTATTGCTGATATTTAGTTTTAGCGAATATTAATAATAGTAATGTTACTATATTGAGTTTCTGTTATTCAATTTAAAAAATATAATATAATAAAATATCATTCAAAATGCTCCCTGCCACTCTTATCATCATTAGCTTTACGTACGGTTTGAAGATATGCGAAACCTCGCTGCTCTGTTTATCGCAATAATATGAGTAGCTTTGGCATTATATAAGTTAACTTAAGGGAGGTTCTTCTTATTCAAAAATTAATATCACAATACTTAATGGACGTTTTTAATATTAGGTAGCCAAAAAATCTAATTTTTCTGGATTTTACTTAGAAGGGGATTTTCGTTGAAACACTTAATTTTTTCCAATTTTTATGATGAAAACTTGTATCTATTTATCCCATTTTATACTCTGAACAGGGTATTTTAAGTTTGCCACGAAATTGTAACACCCAGAAGGAAACGTCGGACACCCTATAAAATATATACATAAATGATCAGCATGACGAGCTGAGTCGATTTAGCCACGTCCGTCTGTATATACGCGAACTAGTCCTTCCGTTTTTGAGATAACGATCTGAAATTTTGCACACATTCTTTGCCCGGCAGAAACTGCTCATTTGTCGGAACCGCCAATATCAAATGAACGACCAAAATCCAGACTTATTTAGCCTTTTTATGCTATAAGAAGATGGCGAAATTGAAAGTCCTTTGTAAAACCTAAAAAATTGCATCGACTCTATTTAACCGCGGAGCCTTAATGGACTAGTTCGAGTCATAGAAGAATAGATTTTGCACCCTAGTCTTAATTATAAAAAGACTATACCATACATAAAAAATAAGCGTCTGAAACTTTCGCTTATCTACAATTGAACTAATACATGTAAAGGAAACACACCCGACTTGAGCTTGACAAATACTCAAAGTGTTCTGCCTAAACTCTTATCAATAAAACTGTACAAAAGTCACAAAAAGAATATCAACAATTTAGTTACTCAACAACTTTCTGGATGTGATGAACGTCAGCTAAATACACAACATAATTGTCAATTTTTTAGTAATCAAATAAAAATGCTACCCCAAAGTCTGCTATTCTCCTTCGGTCTACTGATCGCCGTTCCGCTTACAATAGACGCCGCTTTACTCACTTGCAATGTCCAGCTGGTGGATGGTGTGGTGAAGAAGGTTTGCCGTAGACTCAAGTGTCCCGTTAATTGCTCGAATGGCATCTGTAATATGCAATTACAACGTTGCTATTGTAACGAAGGCTACGAATTCATTGGGGGATCATGTGTACCCGTCTGTGAACCGCCGTGTGGCGAAAGCCAGCTTTGTATTGCGCCGAATATGTGCGAATGTGCAGAAGGATATGCTTTCCTGAACTCTAGGTGTGAGGCATTTTGTAGAACACCTTGCGATGACACACAATATTGTGCTGCGCCGAACACTTGCGCATGCATGGAGGGTTACAACAACGCAACCACTGGTGGCTGTGAACCAATTTGCGTGACAGACTGCGGCGAACACGGACGCTGTAAGGCGCCAAATTTGTGTGAGTGCGACGAAGGCTACAGTGTACAAGGGGACGGCGGATGTGCGCCTATTTGTGATGCAGAGCTTTGCGCCAACGCCGATTGTATGGAACCATATAAGTGTATCTGTCACGAGGGCTATACGCTTAACTTTGACACCAACAAATGTGAGCTTTTGCAGGAAAGCGAGAGTGATGGGGAGTTGCAGTTAATCGACGTGCGCTCTGGATCTAGTTCGTTGCTTGTAAATCAGACCAATCAAATTTCGGTCACAAATAAATGAATTATTAATAATTGAAAACTATTAAATAATCAAAAAAAAAACACAAATATATTCTCACAAATGTACAGACAATTGTATAGTTTTATTTTGGTTGGTTAGTACCGGACAGACAGATATCAGAATCTGTTATGACTAGACAGTTAACAGTTTGTATGGCAGCTTTATGCTATAGTGGTTCGATGAAAATAAAATTGTCGGATATTGCACCGTTGCTTTGGACAATATGCCATCAAATTCGTAAAGTATTTCGTAAATTAAAAATTTGTAATACATGGACATGATGATGATCGTTCAGTTTGTATGGCAGCTGTATGCTATAGGGGTCCGATATTGGCGGTTCCAACAACTGAGCAGTTCCTTAGGGAGTTAAGAACGGACGGACATGGCTAAATCAACTCAGCTCATCACGCTGATTATTTATATATTTATTTTATGGGGTCTCCAATATTTTCTTCTGGATGTTACAAACTTTGTGGTAAACTGTCCAAAATATAAAAAGGGCAACTCTGAATATTTGGATTAGTTAAATGGCGAATTTCACAAATAATCAATAAAACCCTAATAGAAAATTATTTCAGGTTTATCAGCTTTGCATGTATCTGAGGCACGCGCTGTGCACAATTATACGAGTGCGATTTTCTTCGTTTAACTTTTTATCGCCTTTGTGTAGACTTTCTCTTTATTTGTATACATGTACTCTTATAAAATTCAAAACAAAGAACAAAGGCAATTTCTTTAAGTTACAAGAAAACATATACACATCATACGATATATGTTTTATCCAAAGCCTTTTCAATATTTCCACTTTTAGGGTTGCAAACTTACTTTACATACGAATGTATATATACGAATTAAAGTCTATTGCCACTTAAGGTGTTGATGATTGTTATAACTTATTCATAACTTTAAATATATATTATAGAAAGTTTGCCACTGCACTGCTTCGGTGAAAATTATTACGACCTTTATAAACATTCTGTTCTTCTTTTCCAATGATCCTCCGAAGACTTCTGTTTCGTTTGAAAACCAAGTTAAGACCAAACTTTGTTTTCCTCGATTAAATTCCGAAACTAAAATTAAAAAAATACATGGAAATTGTCTACAATTCGTCAAACTTTAGAGAGCGGCAAATCGAACAACCAGTTGGTGTAAAAACAATAGACTGCTTTTATCATAAGCTGATAAAAATAGCAGAAGATATATCTAAAAGGCTTTATAACCGTGGTTTCACAAGAGCAAATGTTGAAAATTTCATAATACTATGAGTATTAAAACTGCTATTCCATGGCAACACTGTTTAATTTCACAATTTGCGCTTTCAACAAATCTTGAAACTGAATCACATACTTCAATATACAGTAGATTATACGCATTCGAAACCCTTAGACATAACACCAGGGCGCATGCAAAGAGGGAACCGAAATGTATAAATCAAAATTACGGTTATTGCTAATTCAAATAGTTATCTACACTCTCCTTTTTATTGAACGCGGTCACGGCAAAACAATGGAAACAAGATGTAGAACATTATTAAATAAAGGTAAATCCCAGCAAATATGTCAAAGGACATGTGATGAAAATTGCGTTGATGGCATTTGTGACTTCAAACCGAAGCATTGCCTTTGTAAACAGGGTTACCATCCGGAGAAAAACAAATGCCAGCCGGATTGTGCCGCAGGATGTCCGGCCAATTCAACTTGCATCGAAGACAGTAATAATTGTCGCTGCAATGAAGGTTATACTCAAGACTCTTTCACTCAATGCTCACCAGTCTGTAGTGTGGATTGTGGCGAAACAAGCTATTGTGCTGAACCAGACATATGTGCGTGTAAAAGTGGCTATGCGAATACAAACAATGGTTGTATGCCAATATGTTCGCAAGGATGTGGCAAACATGAGTATTGCGGCGCACCTAACGACTGTCTATGTAACGATGGTTATGCAAGGAATACTGAAGGCAAATGTGACCCCCAGTGTGGTGTGGATTGCGGCGAGACCGCTTTTTGCGCTTCACCCAACCATTGTGCCTGTAACGTTGGTTTCATAGAAAGTAAAGAAGGCTGTCTACCGATTTGCTCGAAAGGATGTGGCGTTAAAGAGCATTGTGCATCACCTAATAGCTGCGAATGCAATGAGGGTTATACCAGGAACACCACCGGCCAATGTTTACCCCGGTGCAATATGGAATGCGGCGAGGCTAGCTACTGCGCTGGACCCGATACATGTGCATGTAAAGTCGGTTACGAGCAAACCAGCACTGGCTGTGTGCCCAGTTGTCCTCAAGGTTGTGCAGATCATCAACATTGTGCGGCACCTAATAAATGCGCTTGCAACATTGGCTATCAGCAAATGTTACCTGATGGCACCCAATGTGAACCCATCTGTGATGCGGCGCTCTGTGGTAATGCCACCTGTCTACGACCGGGTATTTGTGAGTGTGCCAAGGGTTATGTGCGACTCAATGGCAGCATTGATTGTCTGCCTCATTGTACGGGCGCTTGTGGGCCGAACGGTATTTGCACAGCTCCGAACCGTTGTGAATGTATCGATGATTATGTGCGCATTGGCGCGACTTGCGTACCTCAATGCAAAGTTGGGTGTGGCATAAATGCACATTGCACCGCACCAGATGTGTGTCAATGCATGGAAGGTTTTGAAAACAAATCGCTCCACACATTGTTACAACATTGTCAGCCAATATGTGAGCATGCTTGCCCACTTCACGCTTACTGCGCGTCGCCGAATCACTGCAGTTGCATCGCGGGCTACACTGTGATCGACGATCAGTGTGTGCCGCAATGCAAAAACAAGTGTGGCGCTAACAGCAAATGCATTGCGCCCGACAGATGTCACTGCGACAGCGGTTTTCTGGAGCAAGGCAGTAAATGTTTGAGTTCGTCGGAATTGAAAACATGTATGAAGGAAGTATTATTCATTAGTATGTATGTTTCCTGTGAGACCGGTTCATTTCTGATATATTTGATTTATGGTGGACTGGTCGGTTTCGTACTAATATGCACGTTTGTCACCTACAAAGGTATTCAGCACTTACGCAAAAGGGGTAATTACAGGCATCCTTCACCACAGAATTTCATAATCACCTATCAGCCGCGCAGTCGTGAAGACGACGATGAGTTCACGAATGCCGATGGCGATGTGGCAAGCCCTAGCTATAGCCAGCCACCAGCCTATAATACGCTAACTAGAAAATGTTAAAGATAAGAAAAGCGACAATGCAATTTAATTGCAAGTTATCGCTTAAATAAACTTATTTCCTCATTAATGCAATTCATGTTTTGAAACTCGTCAATATACAATAGTTTATGAAAAATTATATTATAAGAATACGATAAGAATTAAATCATATACAGGAAATTTAATTAATATCGCATTTGTGGTTTACCTAAGCGCTCTATATATTTATGTTCCGCATATTGTAATTAAACACTTATGTACTCATACTTTTCAGAAATAATAATACTGAAGTCTTGTTACAATTAATCATGCTCGTTTCTCGTTTGTTTTTAAACAAAAAAATATTTTTCGATGTTTAATTTGTTGTTTGATTTGCTTTTGAGTGGTTTGCAAGACCATTTTTCATACTTTTCTTAAATTGTTATCGACGAAATGTTTCCAAAAGTAACAAGTAAGGAAGCGCTAAGTTCAGATGTAACCGAACATTTTATACTCTCGCAAAGTCAAATATATATGTATACTCGTTTGAGATTTCTTTGTGTATTGGCTGATATTTTAGGTAGAAGGTCAACTATAGGCACTGGGGTCCACATATTTAGTACTTAGGGGCTTGAACAGTTTTGGTTCGATTTAGACAATTTTTGGTCACAAGGTGGCATACTTTAAACGTATTATTCACGCAAAGTTGTACCCCGATATAATCATTGTTGCTTGATATGCATAGTGGAAAGTGAAAGAATCAGATGGAACTTAAAATGGTGTGATATGGGAAGTAGGCACTATAACATAGAAATATGAGAAGAATGTTACGTACCGAATTTGGTTGAAATCGGTTAAGCAGGTCTCAAGATATGGGTTTTCACCTAAAAGTGGGCTGTGCCACGCCCACTGTCTAATTTTGAACGTGGTTCCTATAAAGTCATCTCATACCATCCCAGAGATAAAATTTAATGTCTCTGGCGTGTTTAGTGCTTGATTTATCGCGCTTTACGTAGTTTTTAACAGTACCGTTATATGGGGAGTGGGCGGAGTTGCCACCCGATTTCAACTACTTTTACACTGTGGGTAGAGGTTCTAAAAAAATTTTCTTCCAGTGAATTTTGTTATTATAACATTAGCGGTTTAGGAGATATGCACATTAAACATATTAGAGGCGGGACCACGCCTACTTTTTAAAAAAATTTTAACTGCAGATGCCCCTCCTTAATTTGATCCTGTGTACCAAATAACAGTCTTATATCTTATTGCGGAGCTTAGTTACGGTAATTTATTTTTTTTTTTATTAATGGCGTTTTGTGGGCGTGGCAGTGGTCCGATTACGCCCATCTGCAATACAACCGTCTCACGGTACCCAGAAACAGGTCTACCAAGTTTCATAAAGATATCTCAATTTTTACTCAAGTTACAGCTTGCACGGACGGACAGACGGACGGACGGACAGAGAGTCACCCGGATTTCAACTCGTCTCTTCATCCTGATCATTTATATATATATAACCCTATATCTAACTCGATTAGTTTTAGGTGATACAAACAACCGTTAGGTGAACAAAACTATTATACTCTGTAGCAACAGGTTGCGAGAGTATAAAAATGTATCAAATATTAGAAATAAGCTGTTCTGGAAACTGCACATCAGAACAGTAAAATTAAGCTCTAATTCTGATATTGTGAGCCAAATGCAGTGATCTGATCAAAGTTTGATCTTTGATTGAAATTTTGAATTTACAATGGAATCACGGCTACGGAATTATTATAGAAGGGTTTCGGGGTGACTAATTTATCTATCCACATCCGTCAATGACGATAACATCGAAAAAGTTAAAGAAACAGTATATGAAAATCATCGTGTTAGCATCAGAAAGATAGCAAAAGATTTCAAACATCTTATCAATGCTAGACTGCTAGCAAAAGACCTTCATCATTTGTAAGAACGACGTCGAATAGATGCTTGACAACATTATTACTGGTGATGAAACATGAGTTTATGAATATGACTTCGAAACTGGTCAAGAATATAGCGAATGGCGAATGGCCGAAACCGAAAACAGCCACCTTCACTGAAGGCCATCCCAGCCGCGACTTGCAACAATTGTATGGAAAATTGGATTAAGCTTAGGTATGCTTGCATTGGCTCAGGAGCATATTGTAAAGACGAGAATAAAAATTGAAAAATTATAGTAAAAATGTAGTTTTTCGTTGTCAATACGGGCATCTTTGATCAGATGATACTACAAAATTTGATATACAAAAATACAAACATTTTGTCGAGAAGTCAGACGTAAATTTTTTTACAATCTTGCAACACATTATTATAATAATTATAATTATGTGTAACTAACTTTAGTTTGTAACACCTATAAGTAATCTTGTTAGATGTAGGATTATATTATATATGCCCGAATAATTATGATCACGTGAAAAATGATGTGAAGGGTATTATAGCTTCGGTGCAACCGAAGTTAAGGTTTTTTCTTATTTTTTAGTCAAATATAGCGGTCAATATGTGAGATATTTCAATGCCATTAAGTAAACATGCTATCATAGACATAATGTAATTATGTACCACAGATTCTTGAAATTGCTCCATAATGATTTTTGTCCTTCGGGATTATTGTAAACGCTTCACAATTTTTGCTAACAATGAATATTCAAGAAAAATGTATGAATGTAAGATTTAAAAATTGTTTTGCTGACTTCTGGCAATATTTCAATATTTATTGTCGCCTTAAAGTCTTACAGCTGGAACCCAACTTTCTTATTATTATTTTATGTTTCAATGACCACAAATAAAGAGAAGAGAAACTTAAATAACGTTGTCTCTCTCTCTTAAAGAATCCTTATTCAGGTTTAGGGTTCGATGAACTCGAATATAGTAAATTATGTTATATTCTACAATTCTTATACATCTACATAAGTACGTGTTATATGTGTTTATTTATTTAATATAAATAATAAAAACATCGCATTAAAATAAAAGAATACCGTTAAAATAACTAATCAAAGCAGAACTACAAAATGCTGAAGTACCGTAAAATTGGAATATTGTACGCTGGAGCATCCTTAACGGCGACAGACCGCTGCTTACCGATTCACCGTTACTTTGGTGTGCGTGTAGAAATTAAAGCCAGAGGCGAAGTTCGTGACAAATACACTTCAGCTATTGCTCATAAGTATCCACTCTCATTATTCTATAAACTTTGTGTACTTATAGATAGACATACATATCTGCAAAACCTCCAGCTATATAACGGTACAGTTTGCTGCTTTTAAAAGCAAAATAAATATTATGCAAATTTTGAGTTCTACATAATTTGAGTAGATGTGAAGATACAGAGAATACAAAGGCAGTGTTTAGCACACAAACCCGCGGCCAACCATTTCTAAACTCGTAAAAACATTAAAACATGTCAAGTACTTTCTTTAAAGTTCGTTTAATTTACACTTATATACAAGCACTTAATTGTTATACCCTGAAAGGAAAGGCTGAGTCGATTTGGCTATAAACGTCTGTCCGTCTGTATATACGTCCTTCAGTTTTTGAAATTTCGACGAGACATTTTGCACATGTCCTTTTTTCATATGTTTTATAGTCATAGCTAACCTTAAAAATAACCGTGCAAAACTTTCACATCTCTCGTACTAACGATTCGGGAGATGTAGTAGAACAAAATTAAAGATATAAGAATGTTTTGAAAATACATAAATTTGGAATTGATTACGCAGCCACCGTATACTTTAGATTAGGGTTTTCCGGATCCTCCATAAATATAAAATTTTCAACATGTCTGACCATCCAACCATCTGATCAAATTTGACCCGAACTGGTTCTTTAAACTGTGCGCGTAGTTCGATGGATATCAATAGCGAATCGATAACAAATTTTGGTTGGATTAGTGAAGTTTGACCACTGAATGAGAGGAGTTTGTGTTTCCAATGGAAACACTGCTAGCGGATCGTTGAAAATGTTGTAAAAGTCTTTCAGCGAGTCTATGTACTTTGTCACAATGTATCATCATACACCTATATAAATGACGATAATGTCGGAAAAATTAAAGAAACAGTGCTAGCCCAGTTGGCATCAGAGAGATCGCAGAGGATCTCACTAATTTTATCAATGCTAGACTCGTACCAAAAGACCTGAATCTTTTGCAAAACCGACGTGGGTTTATGAATATGACGTCGAAACATATGAAATTATGACGTTCGTAATATAGTATATCAATACCTAACTTATGCTAATTTAAAGATATTTAAATCATCATGAACTAACCAAAGTTCGATTTTAAAATTCACCTCAAAGCGCATAAACTTCTAAAATACCGATTATAAGTAATTCATATGAAAACCTCGGCAGAAGACTTGAATATGCAGAATTTCGCAACAATTATGACTGAGCTGGCCAATGAACTATTCAATTCAGGCAGAGAGGTATTTGCACTTTAACAAGGTGATCAAATGTGAGAATCGAATCAAAGCGCATGCGCACAAGCAAACGCTAAATTTATCATTAAGGCTTTTGTTCTACCATAGTTTTACTGATTTCTAATGAAATATCATTCAAATGCACATTTTAGTTAATTATACGCTAAATCAGCGGAGAACTATTCATTAGCGCAAAATCACTTGGGCTAACGCTTCTACTTTTTACTTGCAACTGCCGACACGAAAAAAAGACAGAAGTAATGCATATTAATTATAGTAAAGAAGTAGACTTCCACGTAAACGCTAACTGCCATGAAACCGCATTAAATCTGAGCTAGCAACATGCCCTTTCGAAGACAAAACCAAAAGCGCAGTCATAATTCAAATTCACTAAATAGAAATTCATATAAAAGAGCAAGGGCTCGCTAATAAAACAACAAATGCAACAACAACAACAACAACAAAACTAAGCAAGAAATGTAGAATACGCGCACGATTCAGTGGAAGACGGCAGGCATGGGGCAACGCTGGCCACACGCACACACACCGCCTCTGATCGTTATCAGCAACGACTGGAGTTTTATTAGCGCTTTGGCTCGTTCAGTTACTTGTTGCTTGAGAGTTTTGCTGTCTACTTTTTTATTTCAAATATTAGTATTATTTTTAGTG